ACAGGGGATCGGAAATTCTGAGAGGAAGGTGAGGTGTTGTCGGTTTAGAGAGTGAAATCCCATGAATTTTAGAGAGGCTAGCAGATCTTGGCGAACTCCAGCATAAAGAGGGAGTTTTCGAGAGATCTGAAGCCCGTTCCCACCGTTCATTGAGATCAGAATTCATTTTTATCTTAAGAAGAGTATTTATCTTGCATCGTCAAGATATTTACTTCTGTTCTTGTTTCCTTTATGAAACAAGAACAACGAGTCTTCGTTCCGATCAACCTAGATCTGATTTTTAGCAGTACACGAACTAACGCGTCCCCGGCACAGGCAAAGATCTCATACAAGCAGCGATCGATAAATGATCTCTGCGTGTGTTTCCAGGAGATTGTTTTGATAATTTATTTGTAAAAGAGAAGTCTTATAAAATGGCTAAAACTCATTTGAATCTGTGTAAATGATAAATGTTATAATAGATTCAGCAAATAAATCAATTTACGAAATAAAACATGCTGTCAACCATAGTGGGAGCTAACAGTCTTGTTGTCGTGACTGTCGTGTCACAACCGAAGATTAAAATCCTAGTTGATTCAGCGGTCGAGTATGAGTTTGATGAAGCCAAGTTCGAGGAATATTTCTCCCCGTCTTCATCAAAATCCTCCTCTCCCTATAAATGCGGAAAGATATTATCTTTGAAGGAGGCGTATTCACTGATGAAGGATACAAGTGACTCCTCTCCAATCAAGGAGTTATCCAATTAAAGTACGCCAACTCAGACGAAGAGGGATCATCAGAGGCGACGCCAACGCCAAGCTTGTCAAATTGCCAATGCATTAGAATAAGTCGATGAAGTTCAATATTATGCAAACTTAGAGTCCAGGAGGCGTCAAGTAACCAAATCACTTCAACAACGTGTTATTGACAAATCCTCCAAGCCATCGACGGAAGAACAAATCCTTGTCAAAAGGAATTGTTCAACCCGGAAGGAGCGTATCCAAAGGCGTCGTGCACGTGCCGCACATGCTCGCACCTTTTTGCAAATGGCACAAGGCATGAAGAAGGAAGAGGTGACCAAAAAACCACCAAAATCACGCCAAGTCTGGAGGCTAAAGTCTAAAACGGCATCAAAAACAACTCTGACAGTGGCCGAAAAGATTAGAAATCCTGAGTCACTTCAAGGTGACTCGGCCAAGCGCGGGTCACTCCAGGTTGGCTCGGCCAAGTGCGGGTCACTCCAGGGTGACTCGCGCCAAGCCCGAGTCAACTCAATGTGTCTCGCGCCTAATTCACCTCCCGTAGCTATTTCTCCGCTTCTATCAAGCATTGTTCCTATTCTAGTTGATCACGTACCTCCGGAGAAGTCTCACGACAACGTTGACCTATTGAAATTCAAGGTTACGATGGTGGACCATCTTAGTCCTTTGAATGAAGATCGAGGCAAAGCTCTGGTGGACAAAACCCGAGTAGTTCCTCAAGCAGGGGGTTGTACAAACACTCCTGTTAAGCCAAAGGCCGCTCAAAGGTGTCTCATCGCCTCCAAACAAACTGGGGTACCTCATTGTACATGTTCGTGCGTCGTGCACAAGAGGACTCCTAGTATCAATCGCCTGGGGGTTCGTATTGAAGCTTAGGAGCCCGTTAAGGCTCCACGCTCGCAAGGGGTGGTCCTACACGCGCGACTCTTGATACGAACTTGGATCATTCAAAGGCAACAATAAATCATCCTGAGAATATCAACAAGGTTCTTCATCCCCAAAAGAAAACGTGTCCGTCAAAAGACAACGTTATACTTAGGGAATCACACCAACAAGTGATGGATTACTCCAATGAGCTACACCATCAGGCTAGGGGTATGAACAAATCCCAGGAGGAGGGTGTCCAAGAAACTAGCTCTCACTATCTATGTAGGAGATTTATCAAGACAGTATTATCAAAATGTAGTTGTCCTAAGACCATTTCACAAAGGGTCTCGATATTCGAGAAACTTACCACCGAAGCATCAAAGCCTAAGCTAAGATGTTTCCACGAGAGAAATTCATCATCTAGGATGATGAAATTTCCTAAAGTCACCATCAACATGGTTGATAAAGGAAAGTCTGTGATTGCTTTAAATGGCTCTAATCCCGACTTATCGTCCGAAAGAAAAGTCAATTCAGGGATAACCCAACGAATGTCTTAGCTTCAGCTAGAAGCCATCGAACATAGGGATTACCCAAGGATGTACGAAGGCTTGTCTTCGGAAAATGAACTATTGGATACTTGCTCTGCAATCGCCTCCAACGATACAATATCCAACATAGGGGAAGCAAGGGAGTCGTTCACAATCACTCCCAACCTAATGGCTCAAATGCTTCAAGAGGCTTTAGCTCGATAGCGAGAGGAACTCAGAGCTGAAATGAATATGGAGATGGAATTAAACATGCAGCGAAATTACAAGCCCAACAACTTCAGACTTTGTCAAATTAGTTTGGTGAATCTAGTCGTCTTAATACTACCAATCAGGTAGATAGTAATTCAGAAGTGGAAGAGAATGTCCATGCTAATACCCCTCCCAACAACTAAAATGTTGGGGGTGGTCCTAACGATAATAATAACACTGGGGCTGGTCCTGTTGTTCCTCTCCAAAATCACCCGAAGAAAGATGCAGGCGAGGACAAGAAGATGAAGGATCTCGAGAGCAAAATTAATGCCTTGATGTCTATTCAAGGGGTAAAGAAGACCAGTATTCTGTGTCTATACCCAAGGGAGTGGGAGTCAATCCTGTATCCAGCGAAGTTCAACTTAATTAACTTCACGTCGTTCGACTGGAGAGGCTCACCCACTCAGCGCCTAATTTATTTTAAGTCTCACGTGGGAGTGATCTCCGGGGATAAACCCCTGATGATTCAGTCATTCGTGGGCACCCTTCGCGAGGCGGCCTTAAATTGGTATTGACGTCTCAGGCCTGGGAGCATCAACTGCTGGGACAATATGGAAAGCTTGTTCCTTAACAACTTCTTCGACGATGATACCGAATTGTTGATCGGAGATCTTCTAGATGAGAAACAGAAGGACGGTGAGTCAGTTGATAATTTTGTCAAACGCTTCCATAACAAAGCAATGAATTACAGGGATCCTGTCACAGAGGAGTTTATCTTATAGACATGACACAACAATCTCTCCATTGATGTCCTGGAAGCCCTGGGGGTCATACCATCCAAAACTTAGAAAGAGTTAAAACTACAAGGTGAACAGGCCGAAAGCTTTATCAAAAGGAAGAAAGCCGAGAGAGGCTAACCGACGGCTGAGGCACCTACAACTGCTGTCAACATTCATCAACAACAACCTTAGAGGCAACAAGGGACTCTTAATCCGAAGTTCTAGGAGGAGTATTCTTTCAAAGATGATGAAGTTCTTGCCATTTTCAAGTACCTCCTCGCCAACAACAAAATCAAGCTGTCACCTATCGAAAATCAGGAGGAAGCAAATAAGATTTCGGATCCAAAGTATTATGCATATCACAGGAGGGTTCATCGCCCCCACTAAGGCTTGTATTACTCTGAAAAATAGCATTCAAGCCTTTGTTGACGCCGGTATCATGACAGCAAAATAAGCCAAATGAGAACACCATCCTCCGACAAGTGTATGAGACTAAACTGCTCCCCAACCTCCGACAGGTATACGAGGTTAAACGGCTTCCCTTATTTCTAACAACGGGAAGTTCCTGAAGAATATTACTCTTAATATTCTTAAGGATAACTATAAATAACCGTAAATTTTTAATACTAGTTTAAATAATTTTTCTAGCATTTAAATATTAAGATTTTATTTTTTAAAAAAGAGTATTTGTATTTCCCTAAATTTCTAGAATTTTCTATAATTTAAAAGTTTGTTTTTATAATTATATTTGTATTTCCCTAAATTTCTAGAATTTTCTATAATTTAAAAGTTTGTTTTTATAATTATTTTAATGATTTTGCTAATTATAAATTTAATTGTTACGATAAAGACTTTTAAATTAATGTTTGGTTATTCATTATTATTACTATTATTATTATTTGTATTATTAATTATCTTGTATTATTATTAATATTTAGCTGCTACATATACCTGTAGCAGGCATTGTATACATTGTTGTACCCCTTTCAGTCTAATCCTACTCCACTCTGTATCTCTCTCTCCAATAATTCATCCTCTCTCTCTCCTACCCCACTTCCCTAATTCCCTCCCTCTTTCACGCAAATACTCTGCCTCGTGTTTCCCCCTCTTTTTTTAATCTCTCGTGCTCTCTCTCTCTCTCTCTCACTCACGAGCTCTCTTTCTCTCTCTCTACAAAATCTCATCTCTCTCTCACTTTCTCCCAGTTCACTCTCTCCCTCCCTCTAAACACAAGCCGACCTCCATCAGCGCCTCCACCTCATCCCACGTGTCGAAGATCCTACTTCTTAACGCTTTTGCCCGTCTCGGCACATACCCTCCTCCTCCAACAAAGTCCTACAACCGGATTCTAACTCTACGCCAAATTTACTCATCAATCGCCTTATACCACGCCTCGAACGCCTTTTGCAATTCACGAAGCTCCGACATCCCGCGCCAATGTCCTCCCGTCGACGCTCCCTCCCACCCTTCCCAGCAGCTCGTTAGCCCGAGCTCGCGACGAACCGCCGAGCCAGCTATCGCCCGCCTTGCCGCCCGTTCTCATCCGCGCTCTGAGTTCTTACCGCTCGTCTTCATCGCGATGAACATCAGAACCGCCACACCACCGGTCCCTGAGTCTTACCCCCGCTGCCGGCGAACTCCAAGCCCTTCACCCGGCGCCCAGACCACTACACCAGCCCGCAGCCCTCTTCCCTCAACCACCTGCTCGTCGACGCTCCACAAGTCCTTCAACCGCCGCCATCACCATCCGACAGTGCTCTAAGCCAGCCTCCACTCGAGCTCCTCCCACCCTCAGCCAGCCTCCAGTCTCCTCCCTATTCTCCCGCACCACACCATAAGCCCACGCAGCAAGCTCGCTACCCTCCTCCCAGTCGCCAGATGCCCCCTCCCGCTGCCCTTGGCTGCCGCCCGAGCCCAGCTCCTCATCGTCGTGCTACCTGAAACCCAGCTCTGCCTCCTCCGCCCCTCGTCGCCGCCTGCAGTCCCCCGCGGCCGCCGCCTTGGCCACCGCCGCCGACGAGCCTGAGCCAGTGAGCTCACTGCAAAAAACTGCAGTTCGGAGCCAACTTCGCACGTGTTTTCCGGCCAACTCTGACCTCCGTTTCCGTCGATTCCTTCGTCGGTGCATAGCCCTTCGTGTTGTCTATCACACGGTATATTCTTTTCACTTGGACTCCCTATCTACACCTCATTATACTTGTTTGAATATCGCACATCATATTAATACTCTAATTATAATTGTAGATGTCGTTTCCGCGAAACCTGTCGTAACGCTGTGCAACCACCCCGACAACCTCTACTATGGTCCACGATATACCCAAGGTAAGATCCCACTTGCTCATATCTAAATTTTGTATTTATTATAAATTATCTAAAATTTTAGAGCTGATATATTTATCTGCATGAGATTGTTTGATGAATAATATTAGATAAATCATAATTATGTGATAAATAGTATTTTTAGAATAATTATAATAAATTAAATGAATTTATTTCAATAGCAGAATCATTTTTGGATAATTATATCAATTAAAAAGAATTTATTTAAGAATGAAATCATTTTAGAATAATTATAATAATTTTTAGAAATTATCTTGTGGAAGAAATCATTTTAGAATGATGAATATTGTTAAAAAGAAATTATTTAGGAAAATAGAATATTTTAAATTAATGAGAATTTATCTTATTTTTGAATTTACGAATTTATTATTTAAAAGATTGTTTTTAGAATTATTATAATGAGAAAAGAATTTATTTTATAAAAAAAAGAATTATTTTGAAGTAAATAAATTATTATTTTAGGAGATTATTTTAGAACAATTTTATGATTCAAATTCTTAATTTTGACTATCTGATATTGTATGATATTAATGTACATGATTAGTTGCATTGATTGTTCCTTGTTGTGAATAAGAATCGTTAGGAGTTTATGACTATAGTGACCTGTGTGACATGAATAAGACCTAGAGGCTTGTGTGTTGTTGACTTAGAAAATACAAGAGAGTTGGGATGGGAAAGTCAAGGTTCATGTGATCGGATAAGGCTGTTGATGTATCTTCCAGGCTCGCACCAGTGGTCGATGTCGCCACTGAGGTTGGTTTGTAGGGCTAAAGTGAAGTGTGTACATCACTTTGGTCAGTGGGAATTTATTTCGTCACCCAAGTTCTGTTTAAAGTTCGGACCAGGCAGATACAGATTGCGTGCAGTCCTCTAGGCCGCATGTGTAGCGGGATTGGATGCACTAGAGGATTTGTAAACAGTCAGTTATCCGATGACAGGACCGTTGACTCTGTGTGAGATGTGACCAGTGACCTGTTATAGAATGGCTAGTTACATGACCTTGTTTCTTAGCTAGGTATGATTTCTTGTGAGATACGGACCAGTTATATTTCTTTTCATACATAGATCGGGATTAATATTTAATTATCTACAATTTGAGACTATGATATATACATGAGCGTTTCCTTGTTTGGATTATTTCGCTCGACGTACTACGTCTCTTGTTGTAGATTTTTAAGTATTAATTCCATCTAGTGTATAACCCTGTACTTGGATGATTATTCTGATCGCTAGCTGCATGACCTCGTTACCCGATTGAATTTAGTTTATTCTGATTATTCTATTCTAGTAGTAAATTATATTTATATTATTAATATTTCAGTTGCATCTTTCTATTGTTATTACCATTATTGCATTGGTCGCACGATCGTTTCTATTCTTCCTTTTGAGATCTTGCCGTGTGCCATACACGCTGACGTACTCCTGTTCTCTCAGGTTGTACGTCAGATTTAGAGGACAGATAACTACATTTTGGAGTAGTACATGAGCCAGAGGATCCTCCACAGGAGTGCTTCGTAGATCGAGCAGAAGAAGACGAAACTTAGTTATTCTCTTTAGTTGTTCGATAGTCTTAGCTTACTTTTAGTACTTTTTATTTTTGCCTGATCGATGTATTTTATATTTCTTCGGTATTTCATTCAGATCATTTTGTATAAGGGCATGTTTGGCCCGAATATTATGTCTGGGATGATATTTCAGTTGTGATATGTATCATTTTGTTCTAAGTTGTTATTATATTCTCGCTACTGTGATCGGAGACCTATGCCTTTGTTCTATATTTGTTTGATGCTAAGCATATTAGATTGAGCAGAAGGAGTCTAGTACTTATTTCTCCTCAGTCTAATACGTCGCGGGCTTGTTCACGTTCTGATTCCCTGGTATTTTAGGAAGCGGGGCGTGACAGATTTTAGTGGTGGCCCATGCAGGTCACGGTCCCGAATTCCCACTAGTGAGAATATAATGGATAATTTGGACGCATATCATATTTCATCCGTAAGACTATACCTTTGCCCTTATCCTAGTATCTTGACCAATCTTGTATTAGTCTCTACCTTATCACTTTTTGACTCCGGAACTTCCCACTGTTTCTTGTCTCATCACTTTTCGACTACACTCTTTTCGTATAACTTCTCTTTCCTCGTACCGGTCATTATTTTATGTGTTATTATTTTTACACTATGTTTTCTTTGATTTGACTTGTGTATCGTTTGATTGTATAACATAGTCTAATGAAAAACATTACTTGTATAATTTCAATTGTTCAAATCATGTTCATTGAGTGTTTCACATTGCTCTAGACTTTACATATACATCACATAGTATATCTGATATTCAGATTATTTTCTTGTGTTTAATTATACTTTTGTGTATCTACTTATCATCTGTCATTTACCTATATTCTAGATTATTGTATATTGATTGTACTTTTAGTGATATACATTAATAAGTTCATGATTTTAATATACTATATACGCATTACATTCTTATTCTTTATTTTATTCAACTCAATATATTCGGTACATAGTTCTCTTATCAGTTTTGTCTTATTTAGGTTGTTTTAGTTTGTTCATATTGGTTTCGTTATTTTAAGAGCAATGCATTTCTATTTTGATATTCAAACATTTATTCATATTGTTAGGTTTAGAGTTAAGTTACTAATTATATAGTTTTGTTACATTATATCATATCATTAGTTATTATTTTTATATAAAAGATAATCCTAAACAGCGTTGTGGGTATGTATAATATTTACTCATGAGTTGTTATAGTACAATTACCTATTGTAGTTGTTTGCTTCGTTTCCGATATGTATTATTATTTCATTTGTGACTATATACATTGTATACACATATTATTTTCAGTATTTAATTTATAGTGTTTTTTTTAGATTTTTTTTTCTGTGACGTTGTTTGTTGTTCATTCTCTATTCATTATTTTGTTTACTTTGTGTTGTGTTTTACTTTTCATTCTTTTATACATACTATTTGCTTTTCATTATAGTGTATTCATGTATATTATTATATTTACAATATATATTTTATTAATTTATAGTCATTCATTATTTTTAGTATCAACTTTGTCTAATCGTGTTCTGTTTCATGTATTATCAGTGTTTATGTTCACATGTCCATCAATCATTCATGATATATTTATCTATAATATATCAGCGTTTTTATTATACGAATTTATGTTCTTCTTATGTTTTTATTTGTTTATAAATCTATTTTATTTTTCATAATTCATGTTTTATGTATTATACATCTTTATTTATGAATACTTATATTGATTGTATTTATGTGATTTTGATTACTATGCCATATATTGCTACATCTGAATTAATTTTATACCGCAATGATTATTAATGTTGTATCTTGTTTATATTTATTATTTACCTTATGGATATTACTAACATTTTTGATTTATTATATTATTTGTCGAATACATATATAATTATTTCCTTATTATGTTTTATATAATATGATTATTTTGAATCACTTGTTTGCTCTTACGTCTATTTTATCATATAATATTTTGTGACTACTTCCATCATAATTTATCTTGTTAGCATAATTAGTACTATGGGTATTTACACTTTTATGTGCTTATTATTATGTATATGTTTTCATTTTAATGCTTATTATACATGATGATTATATTATTGTACACATCATATGTTTCTGAATCTTGTTTATCTTTTTGCTTGATATCTTTTGTCTTTATGCTTTAATTTTATTTGTGTTTCTTTGAACTTGTCTATGATTTCGTATTATTTACTTTATGCTATATAATTGATGTATGCTAATAATTATTGTGTATCATTTCATTATGCTATTGATTATTATTATGATTTGCATTTGTTTGTTGTCTATATGTATTGATGTGTTTTTATCTATGTTTATTTCTTTTACTTAATACTATTTTCAATTGTGATTATGTGTGTTGTGTATACCTTATTATAATATTTATTGTCCTTTTGCCTGATTTATTATGCATTTTTGTCTTATATCTTGTGCTTTCTAGTAATATTACATGATACATTTGTTTATGACTCTTTGAATATTGATATTTATTTATTTGTATATCTCTATTTTGTACTTTCGCTGTTATTATTATCATGTTCTATCTTTACTGTTTACTATATTTGATTATTATATCTATGCTTCCTTACGTGCGTTTATATTTCTAACTGCTTTAGACATGTGTTGCTATAATATTATCTTTAAACTTTTTAACATAATTATAATTTCTTAATTTCGATACTTGTGCGTTATACGTCTTATTTGGTTGAATGCGATTTGCTGATTGCATTCATGTGTTTTGTTGTAACTATACTTTTTATATATCTTGAATGTTTATTCTACTAACTGATTGTATGACATTTCTATTATAATTTGATATATTTTATTATTTTCATGTCTCTTATGTTGTACATTATGTTTATCTAAACTATATATACATTTGATTCTTGCTACTTTGTTTTGCTTATATAATCTTCAAGTTTTTCTTTTTGCTTTTGCTTGCATATGGTTCATCTGTTATTTGTATTGTATATATGTGTTTTGTGTTTTATCATATTTATCATCTGCTTACGGATGATTGATTTATATTTTGTTGAGATTTTTGTCTTTTATCTTCTTTATTATTTATATTGTTGAGTTGATATGTTTTATCATATATTCTAGTGATTGACAATTATTTGAATTATGTATTTATATTTCATATCACATTTTGTATGCTATATATTTGTTATATTTTACCAATTATGTGTTATTGATTATATTTAACACTGTGATGCGTCGTCTTATGATACTATATCAATAATATCGTGTTGATATTATATTTTATGTAATTGTATATTTGTTGTCGACTCTTTGCTATTAAACTATGTTGACTGATACTTATATTTTTGCCTATGCGTAGATGTTATGTTATTTTATAATTTAATATGTATCAACTATTTTATTTACAATATACATAATTTTTAATGCATATGTAATCTCTTTCACATATATGTTCACTCTCTTTATGTTTTACTTACCTCATTCTTATTATTTATACTCGTTACTTGCCTCAATGATATCTTTTAAATATGATTGATCAAGTATATTTTCTGATTCTGTGTATTTGTATTCATACACGCCTTTTCAATTATTTGTACTACCATTAATTTTGATTTCATATTATACTTTTTTGATTAATTATGTGATGTTTTATTGTGTTGCATGTGATTTGCATATTATGTGATTGTCTATGTTAAGATTTTATTTTATTTATACACTATGATTAATACTTGTGAATATTTATTAACCTTTTGATGAATTAGTTTAATGATTAGTATCTGTTTTTTTTTTTGTTGTGTTTAATATTGTGGTGTATATTTTGTATTATTTTATTTGGCTACCTTTATTAATTGTATGCTGAATCTTAGCACATCATACATCTGTGTTGTTATTGTTTTAAATTCTCCTCAGCTTATGGATATCGTTCCATATCTGTGCTTGGGTTGTTTGTGTATCACTCTTATTTTAATTTCGAGGACGGAATTTGTTTTAAGGGGGGTAGGATGTAATAACCGTAAATTTTTAATACTAGTTTAAATAAATTTTCTGGTATTTAAATATTAAGATTTTATTTTTTTAAAAAGAGTATTTGTATCTCCCAAAATTTCTAGAATTTTCTATAATTTAAAAGTTTGTTTTTATAATTATTTTAATGATTTTGCTAATTATAAATTTAATTGTTACGATAAAGACTTTTAAATTAATGTTTGGTTATTCATTATTGTTATTATTATTATTTGTATTATTAATTATCTTGTATTATTATTAATATTTAGCTGCTACATATACCTATAGCAGGCATTGTATACATTGTTATACCCCTTTCAGTCTAATTCTACTCCAATCTGTCTCTCTCTCTCTCCAATAATTCATCCTCTCTCTCCCCTACCCCACTTCCCCAATTCCCTCCCCCTTTCACACAAATATCCTGCCTCGTGTTTCCCCCTCTTTTTTTAATCTCTCGTGCTCTCTCTCTCTCACTCACGAGCTCTCTTTCTCTACAAAATCTCATCTCTCTCTCACTTTCTCCCAGTTCACTCTCTCCCTCCCTCTAAACACAAGCCGACCTCCATCAGCGCCTCCACCTCATCTCCAGCCGGCACCGACCTCCCGCTGCCCTCCAGTCCCTCCTCCTCCAACAGGTCAAACTCCAACTCACCAACCCATCGCCCTTCAACTCGAACGCCGCCAACGAGCTCCGCCTCCGCGCCTCTTATCCCGTCGAGCTCCCTCCACCCTGCCGCTCGCTGCCCAGCCTCCGACGAACCCGCCGAGGCCCTTCAGCTACCTAGCCTCTCTTGGCGCGCCATCCTCATCCCCTCTATCTCCGATCGTCTCTCGTATGAACTTGACGCGGCAACCCTGCGCCCTGAGGCCACTGCCGGCGAACTCCAGCACCCACAAGAACTAGCACAGCCTAGCCACCACCAGCCCTCTCCTCATCACGCTGCCGTCAAGCTCCACCAAGGCCTCGACCATACGCCATGCACTCCGACAAGTGTCCAAGCCAGCGCGCACCCTCGAGCTCCTCCCAACTCAGCACAGCCCGCCCGTCTGCGTCCTGTTCTCCGACCAACACACAAAGCCACCAGCCAAGGCTCCGGCCACCCTCACTGCACGCGCAGCCCCCTCTCCGCTGCCTTAGCTGCAGAGCTCCTCATCGTCAAGTGCTACCCTGAAACCCAGCTCTGCCTCCTCCGCCCCTCGTCGCCGCCTGCAGTCCCCCGCGGCCGCCGCCTTGGCCACCGCCGCCGACGAGCCTGAGCCAGTGAGCTCACTGCAGAAAACTGCAGTTCGGAGCCAACTTCGCGCGCGTTTTCCGGCCAACTCCGACCTCCGTTTCCGTCGATTCCTTCGCCGGTACGTAGCCCTTCGTGTTGTCTATCACACAGTATATTCCTTTCACTTGGGCTCCCTATATACACCTCGTTATACTCATTTGAATATCACACATCGCATTAACACTCTAATTGTAATTGTAGTTGTTGTTTCCGCGAAACCTGTCGTAACGCTATGCAACCACCCCGACGACCTCCACTACGGTCCACGATATACCCTAGGTAAGATCCCACTTGATCATATCTGAATTTTGTATTTATTATGAATTATCTAAGATTTTAGAGATGATATATTTATCTGCATGAGATTGTTTAATGAATAATATTAGATAAATCGTAATTATGTGATAAATAGTATTTTAGAATAATTATGATAAATTAAAAGAATTTATTTCAACAGCAGAATCATTTTTGGATAATTATATCAATTAAAAAGAATTTATTTGAGAATGAAATTATTTTAGAATAATTATAATAATTTTTAGAAATTATCTTGTAGAAGAAATCATTTTAGAATGATGAATATTTTTAAAAAGAAATTATTTAGGAAAATAGAATATTTTAAATTAATAAGAATTTATCTTATTTTTGAATTTACGAATTTATTATTTAAAAGATTATTTTTAGAATTATTATAATGAGAAAAGAATTTATTTTAGAAAAAAAGAATTATTTAAAGTAAATAAATTATTATTTCAGAAGATTATTTTAGAATAATTTTATGATTCAAATTCTTAATTTTGATTATCTGATATTGTATGATATTAATGTACATGATTAGTTGCATTGATTGTTCCTTATTGTGAATAAGAATCGTTAGGAGTTTATGACTATAGTGACCTGTGTGACATGAATAAGACCTAGAGGCTTATGTGTTGTTGACTTAGAAAATACAAGAGAGTTTGGATGGGAAAGTCAAGATTCATGTGATCGGATAAGGCTGTTGATGTATCTTCCAGGCTCGCACCAGTGGTCGGTGTCGCCACTGGGGTTGGTTTGTAGGGCTAAAGTGAAGTGTGTACATCACTTTGGTCAGTGGGAATTTATTTCGTCACCCAAGTTTTGTTTAAAGTTCGGACCAGGCAGAAACAGATTGCGTGCAGTCCTCTAGGCCGCATGTGTAGCAGGATTGGATGCACTAGAGGATTTGTAAACAGTCAGTTATCCGATGACAGGAGCGTTGACTCTGTGTGAGATGTGACCAGTGACCTGTTATAGAATGACTAGTTACATGACCTTGTTTCTTAGCTAGGTATGATTTCTTGTGAGATACGGACCAGTTATATTTCTTTTCATACATAGATCGGGATTAATATTTAATTATCTACAATTTGAGACTATGGTATATACATGAGAGTTTCCTTGTTTGGATTATTTCGCTCGACGTACTACGTCTCTTGTTGTAGATTTTTAAGTATTAATTTCATCTAGTGTATAACCCTGTACTTGGATGATTATTCTGATCGCTAGCTGCATGAACTCGTTACCCGATTGATTTTGGTTTATTCTGATTATTCTATTCTAGTAGTAAATTATATTTAGATTATTAATATTTCAGTTGCATCTTTCCATTGTTATTACCATTATAACATTGGTCGCACGACCGTTTCTATTCTTCCTTTTGGGATCTTACCGTGTGCCATACACGTTGACGTACTCCTTTTCTCTCGGGTTGTACATCAGATTTAGAGGACGGACAACTACATTTAGGAGTAGTACATGAGCCAGAGGATCCTCCGCAGGAGTGCTTCGCAGACTGAGCAGAAGAAACCGAAACTTAGTTATTCCCTTTAGTTGTTCGATGGGCTTAGCTTACTTTTAGTACTTTCTATTTTTGCCTGATCGATGTATTTTATATTTCTTCAGTATTTCATTCAGATCGTTTTGTATAAGGGCATGTTTGGCCCGAATATTATGTCTGGGATGATATTTCAGTTGTGATATGTATCATTTTGTTCTGAGTTGTTATTATATTCTCGCTACTGTGATCGGGGACCTGTGCCTTTGTTCTATATTTGCTTGACGCTTAGTATATTAGATTGAGCAGAAGGAGTCTATGTTCGCGGGAAAGATCGTGTCTTTCTTTGTAATTGAGTCCATTGTCATCTTAAATAACAGCTTTTTGAGTTACAAAAGATCCGGTCTTTTTATAAGATCCGGTTACAATGAAAATCAAAGAAAAATAAACAAAGATTACAACTTTCTCCTTTTGTGTCGAACGAATCGCGAGCTCCTGTTTTGCGGTCGCTCGCTTTGTGGGTTCTTTGCCTGCGCCGGGGTTTATCCGTGGACCACCACGAGATCTAGATCCGGTCGGATCTAGGCAGTAGGACGGGTATTATTTCACCAAGGAAATAATAGCCGATGGTACTATTTCGCCAAGGAAATAGTAGCCTTTAATTCTCGGGATCAAAGACCAAGCGGTCCTCTCGAACTCTTGCCTTATTTGGCGTTGACGATCGCCGAGCACCAGATCTGGAAGAGCAAGTCCTCGAAGTCCCAAAGCTTGGATCTTTTTTAGATCTGAGTCTTCAATCCAGCAGGGCTTCGCCTCCAAAAAATCCAACCTTTTAACAAATGAACCAAGCCTCCTATTTATAGGCTCTCTTCACTGTGCCCGCGCACAGAACTGGGCCGGCCACCTATAGGTGGCCGGCTCTGGGCCGAGCCCCCTTAGGCGTGGTTTTCTGGTTTTGCGTTTTCGGTTCAGTCCGTGATCCGGTTCTGTGGTTGATTTATCCGGACTTGACTCGTTGACCTGATTTGGCAGTAGATCTGATTCCTGATTTGGCAGTAAATCCACTTCTGAGTTCGAGTCCGAAACTGATCTTGATTCGATCGTGATTCGTCCGAGTTTGCCCTTGGTTGGATGACTCGTTGACTCTTCGAACCCTTGGCTTGATTCCACATGCGAATGGATGTATTCCGTTGCTTGCGTGTTGTGCCGAGCTATGCTAGGGGACCTATAAGCAATTTTATATGCCTACAGATACCCCCTCCAAAGTATTTCAGCCTCGTTCTTTTATAGAAGAGTCTGGAATATTTTAGATATGATTGTCCCAACCTTCAGTCGGTGTAACGGGACCTTGGAATGGCTTCTGTTCTTGATTCCTTCAATTCTCCAGGCTATTCGGTGCTTTGTCAAATGTCTGTAAGAGTTCTGGTGCTGCATTTATTGTTTGACCGTTGTCGGAATTTTAAACTTAAAGTCGATTCCTGATTTTCTAATCTTTAGCTGACCATCGATTGTTGGCGTCGAGTCTTTATTTGCGACGCGTTGTCCGGCGTAGTGTTGTTGAGTTATCCTTAAGAATATTTATAAAAACATTCTCCAGGAACTTCTCAACAAAAATTAGGGAACAGTTTATACTCATATACCTTATTGGAGTATTAAGAAGCAGTTTATACTCGTATACTTTTCGGAGTATTTATTCTTTCGTTGCAACGGATTGATCGGCGTTGACTTAGGGTTACGCGTTGACCGGCGTTGACCCTAGGGTTTCGAATATCGTACGTTGACTGTTTGGTCGCAACGCGTTGACTGGCGTTGACCTAGGGTTACGCGTTGACCGGCGTTGACTCTAGGGTTTTGAACGTCGTACGTTGACTTTTTGATCGCAACACGTTGACTGGCGTTGACCTAGGGTTACGCGGCTAGCATGCGGATTGTTCAAGTCCGTTCCGCATGTGACGTTAAGCTAAAAGAGTTAACCCTTTTAGTGCTACGATATTGAATACGTAGACTTCGTCTTTCTCACGGGAATAGACTACCCGGCGACGCGTGTTAGGCGTTGGCTTTAGGATTTTTGGCTAACCCCAAGCCTTTAACGGATTTGATTAGCCTTTACCGACTACCGTTTGAGTCGGGCTAGCATGCGGATTGTCTAAATCCGTTCCGCATGTAACGTTGTGCTAAGAGAGTGAATTCTCTGAGACTTTGTGCTATGATGTTGAATACATAGGCTTCGCCATTGTTACGGGAATAGGCTACCCGGCAACGTGTATTAGACGTTGACTTATCCCTACTTAGGCTTCGGGATAAAAATACCCCAGACTGGTATTCTGGTGTCTTTTTCAATCGGTAAAAGACTAAACCGGCGACTCGTGTTAGGCGTCGGCATATCCTTTCTTAGGATTCAGGATGAAATTCCCCATGCGTGTAAGGCATGGATTTTGGTGTTATTAATAACAACCTGCCACAATGTTGAATATGTGGACGGATGTTCTTTTCAACGGTTAAGAACTAACCGGCAGCGCGGGTTAGACACAGACTTATCCCTGCTTAGGTTTCGGGATAGGATACCCCAGAATCGAACTCTGGTGTCTTTTTCACTCGGTAAAAGACTAAACCGGCGACGCGTGTTAGGCGTCGGCATATCCTTTCTTAGGATTCAGGATGAAATTCCCCACGCATGTAAGGCATGGATTTTGGTGTTATCAATAACAACCTGCCACAATGTTGAATATATGAGCGGGTGTTCTTTTTAACGGTTAAGAACTAACCGGCTGCGCGGGTTAAGCCCAGACTTATCCCTGCTTAGGTTTCAGGATAGAATACCCCAGAATTGAACTCTGGTGTCTTTTTCTGCGGAAAAAGACTAAACCGGCAGCGCGTGTTAGGCGCAGACTTATCCCTGCTTAGGATTCGGGATAAACTTCCTAGTACCTGTGAGGCACAGATTTTGAGAGTTGAAAAAGGTGGTGTCTTCTCTTGGGGCAAAGACGAACCCGAAATAGGAGAGGAAGAATTTTATATTCTATCTCCCGACACTGAAGAAGAAGAATTTTATATTCTATCTTCAGCTGGAAAGGAAACTCGAGATGGGATCTCCACCCCCAGAATCCGGAAAGGTGAAACTAAAAGTGAGATCTCCACTCCGAGAATCGAAAAGATTCAGATAACCCTAACTGTCGGAAGGTTTGATTACCGAACTAAAGATGAATTTCTCATTTATCGAGAGTGAATTGTGGTTTTGACCCTAACTGTAGGAAGGTTTGGCCAAATGGGAGTTTGAGGTGACCCTAATTGATCACTTGATTTGAAAGTGGACCTCTCGTTCGTTGGAGGAATCGAGAGGGGATTTTGACTGTGGTCCTAACTGTAGGAAGGTTTGACCAATTGGGAGGTTTGAGACGATCCTAACTGTAGGAAGGTTTGATCGCTTGATTTGTGGGCCTCTCGTTCATTGGAGGAATCGAGAGGAGATTTTGGTTGTGGTCCTAACTGTATGAAGGTTTGACCAGATTATATCCGGACTCTAACTATGAAAGTGTTGAGTGCACGAACATAGCGGAAGTTTGAATGGATTGAACTTGATAGAATTTGGTGGTCCCACCGTCAATTAGTCCGATCGGTAGGGGACTTAGTGTTCATCACTTTGTTCATATTGATCGGGTGATCCCTAAGAGTATTAACATTCTTTCGGGAACTTCCCGTTACACGAATTATCCACCCCCAGCTTTCTTGCAAAACTGGGTGTAACGAGGAGTACGTTATCCTCAATCGCATGTTCAGGTTATCCTTGAGAATATATGATTCTCTAGGAACTTCCCGTTACATAAATCGTCCACCCCCAGCTTTCCCTGCGAAACTGGTTTGGACATTATTCTTAGTTACCTGACCGGGTTATCCTTAAGAATATTAGCGTAATATTCTCCAGGAACTTCCCGTCAAAAGTGGGAAACAGTTTAGACTCATATACCTATTGGAGTATCAGGGAGTAGTTTAACCTCTTATACCGGTCGGAGGATTTGAGAAACAGTTTATACTCGTATACTCTTTGGAGTGTTGAGAAGCAGTTTATACTCTTATACTTATCGGAGTCTCAGGAAGCAGTTTATACTCTTATACCGGTCGGAGTTGTGCCATTCTCAATTGGCTTACCTCAGCGTTATGACGCCGGCTTCAACCAAGGTCTGAATGCTATTCTTGAGAGTAAAGCAATCCTTGGTGGGATGAAGGACCCTCCTGTGGTATGCACAGTACTTTGGATCCGTCTTCGGATCCGCAGTATTGTCAGCTTCCTCCTGATTAACGATAGGTGGTAGCTTGATCTTGTTGTTTTCAAGGAGGGATTCGAAGATGGCTGAAACGTCTTCGTCCTTGAAGGAATACTCTTTTTGGAGTTTCGGTTCCGAAGTCTTTTGCTGCCTTCGGGATTGCTGTTGTGACCTTGATTGTTGAGGCGCCTTTTGTTGCCGCTGTTGTGGTTGCGCTTGCACCTCGAATGTTTGATTCGCGTCCACAGCATTCGCATGTGCTTTTCCCTTAGGGACAAAGTTCTGTTGCGGAGCGTTATTTGCTATTTGGCCCCTTTCTGCCTTCTTCCTCTTAAGGAATCGTTCGGCTCGTTCCCCACGCACCTTCAGATCCTTCCAGGTCTTTGGCGGTGCCATTCCCATAGCTTCGAGGATGTCCAATGAAAGATTATT